AGGCGATGGAGCTTAAACTCGTTCATCTGTATAGCTTTCAAACTGGTTCGAAAGAATTAATATCATCTTTGGTATTTGTTTCTATATGCATTCGAAATTTCATTCAGATATACCGGTTCAGAAGAAATATGTTTCGGTTTGGTGCTTGCAAATTGAATCGCCAGTGAGTTAGTGGCAAAATACGATGGTCCCAAGGTCCCACAAAATGGACATCTAAAACAACTCCAAATGCAGTTACCTGATTGCAAAAACCCAAGTGACTCTTTTAATACTACTGATTCCATTGAGGACGATTGATTGCTTCTGAAAAGAACTCATACCCCAGCTGATAGTTGAGGGGAGTGTATTTAAAAAAATAGAACTTCTGACATGTCCTTGATTAGATGGGTAGCTGCTAGACTGATCGACCACTGGATAGTAGCACTTGGGGCAGACAAATGAAAGCCATGTTCTGATTGACAGTGAACGGTCCATTCATCACCTCGGCGATACACTTCAGTACTGACTCATCGTACGTGTGCGTGTATGTAAGAGAGAGTATATGGGTGCCAACGAGATTTTTCTCTAGCCGAGTTCTTCAGTTCCAGTTCTATGGCAATAAATGCCAATCTTTTAATCCCTGCGATCGGACCAAATGAGAGCCCATCGTCATCACCGTCATCCCCCCCCAGTAGTTAAATCACAACAAACCGCATTGGCATCACCATCACCACCATCATCAGCAACAGTAAGCACATTTGCATTGGTCCATCTCCCTTTTAGTTGGGATTGGAGGTCGTGTGTGTATTATGCGTGCGGTCAGACAGATAAACGAATGAAAATACCCCGGCATAAACCAGGTTCGAGGAATCAGAAGTGGATGAGTTTAACCAGCCGGCTGAATCATCAATCTTTGTGTCTGATTGTGTGTAAGAGCGAAAGCACTTTGCGGATGACATAGACAAATAGCACGATTCCGTGTCTGATAGATGTAGAAACGAGCTGTGTACCACAAAAAGCTTTTTAATATTAACTATCTTGCTTTCTCCCTTAAGTGGGCTGTTAATAATACGTTTGCGAGCCAAAGGCTCAGTAAAGTGAACTGTCACAAATGAAAACATTATCCAGTGTGCGTACCCTAATGAGATAAAGGAAGAAAAGATTCATGGAAGATTCCCCCAGAAATATCAAAAGCCAAACAATATAGCGAACAAGTTTCTTATTGAAACTTTATCTACAGGTCTTTGACTTTGAATGCATCGTTATCTGGCTGATGCCCGGTATCAGCGAGGTGGGCCATAATCGCACTGGTTATTGTTTTCTTGCAATTCGTTCTAAGCCAAGCCGGTTTATGTTCTCCGCTCCTTTGGGAGAACTGTCTCATCGTTAGTCCTACATAACTTGCCGAACATGTGCAAGTGAAAGAATACGTAATCATACGTGAGGAGAGAATTGACAGCTTATCCTCGGGATTTGTGAGGAGCTGAGGTCGGCTAGTAAACATCAAAATTAGAGTGGCGGCTGGAAATGTATGTGCAATAGCTTTCCCCAGACGTACTTAACCGAACATATTATTGGATCGTTTCAACCGAGCTCATCCGTTGATCACCTTTACAATAGAAACAGAAGATCAGAATATGTTTCACTTCCTCGACATCAACATGAAGAAGGGGCCCAATGGAAAGTTATTCCGTTCTATTTTTCGAAAGCCGACATGGAACGGCCAATACATCCATTTTCAAAGTTTCGTTCCAACCAAATTTAAACGAAACTTAGTCCAATGTCTGGCCTTCAGAACTCAAATAATCTGCTCCAAGTATCTAGTGGAGGAGGAACTTATATTCATCCAATCTACACTCCCTAATAACGGATACTGGGGGCGATTCATTGAGAAGAACCTCGTAGAAAAGCCCACAATGCTTAAACCAAGCACGGCCAAAAAGAAAGAACTATTCTTGCAGCTCCCGTTCAAAGGAGATTCGAGTGGTGATCTACTAAGAAGACGTCTGGATGAAGCTATCGCACAAACATTTTGATGTTTACTAGTCGACCTCAGCTCCTCACAAATCCCGAGGATAAGCTGTCAATTCTCTCCTCACGTATGATTACGTATTCTTTCACTTGCACATGTTCGGCAAGTTATGTAGGACTAACGATGAGACAGTTCTCCCAAAGGAGCGGAGAACATAAACCGGCTTGGCTTAGAACGAATTGCAAGAAAACAATAACCAGTGCGATTATGGCCCACCTCGCTGATACCGGGCATCAGCCAGATAACGATACATTCAAAGTCATCTACAAAGTACCCCAAAACAAATCGAAGCAAGTTCGAAAACGTCACTTGGCAACGGCGGAGGCTGTAGTAATCAAAATCATGAACCCACCACTGTGCAAACAGAAGATGATTGCCGCACTCCACTTGTCTTGGCCCCAACCAAACCTACGTGATGACCCGGACCATGACCTCAGTCGTATCGTGATGACGCAACATGGCGTGACAAATGGCACATGAAAAAAAAGTCACCGAAAATTCTAGAATTGACCTCCCCCCTTCGCCCACTGCCCCCATTTTATCCATCCGCTCTGATTGAAATTGTTAGATATTGTTGTATTTTTATACTCAACCTCTACGGACCAATCACATTTATTTCTACATTAAATATAAACACAAATGTAACTGTATACAAGGTTACGAAAAATAGATTTTTCAACATTATCCGGCAGTTCAGCACTGAGCTGTGCCAAACATTGAATATATCCGTTTCAACAAGGAATTGAGTAGATCTCTACAAGATTCTGCTTAAGGTCCTTGAGAAAAATACGCAGTCAAAAAATCATACCCTTGTATGAGACTAATGGAGGATTTGATTCATTTATATAATGAATTGGTCGTGTAAATGAGGCGTGAGCTGAAAAGCTGGGAAGCACTGGACAGCTCTTTCCATCGGGTTGGGTCTCATCAACAATGCGAATTCA